TTCTAATTTTAGTGATATCACGCAGATGGACGAAGGCGATCCTGGTAACATTTTTAATGTGGAGGTTAAAAGACATATCCTGATCAAAAATAAAACCAAGTTTCTTCACATTAGAACTGGAGGCCAGATTAATGCCATCCAGAGGAGGTGAAAGGCTGCAAAGTTGATCCCTAAGATGTTCAGGTCCAAAAACCATAACCTCTGTCTTATCTGAGTTTAGAAGCAGAAAGTTAAGAGTCATCCATGTTTTTATGTCTGTAAGACATGTTTTTAGTTTAAGTAACTGGTTGAATTCATCAGGTTTCATGGATAAATATAACTGAGTATCATCAGCATAACAATGGAAATTTATCCCATGCTGTTTGGGGCAGCTGTGGTAGAGTGATTAGGGGAGTCGTCCTGGAACCGGATGGTCGCCGGTTCGTCCAGTCAACTCAGTCGTTGTGTCCTTGGGCAAGACAGCTTACCCGCCTTGCCTACTGATGGTGGTCAGAGGGTCCGGTGGCGCCTGTGAATGGCAGCCTCGCCTCTGTCAGTGTGCCCCAGGGCAGCTGTGGCTACAATTGTAGTTTGCCATCATCAATGTGTGAATGTGTGTGTGCACGGGTGAATGTCTGTAGTGTGAAGCTCTTTGAGTGTCCTGGATGGCTAGAAAGGCGCTATATAAGTACAGTCCATTTACCATTTACTAACTTTACCTAATTGAAGCATATACTGTATAAAGTAAAGAGGATTGGTCCAATGGCAGGTATTGCTTGGTGAAAAATGTCTGTGATCTGTTTAGAAAGGGAAATAAGACAATTCTGATCTTAAAACATTTGCCATCTTTTGGGACATTTTTTACAGTTATTCATGAATATCATACTCATTGTACAATATACAACCAAATCAAACTGTTCATGATCATCACATGTACATACTTTGAGTGTTTTTTATTTTTGTTTATAGCTGTAAACATGAGAATGGGCAATTGTTGTGAACAAAATAGTTAATTGCCCAACTCAATGAGTTCCTGCAAGTAAAGCAGACCTGTCACAGATCTTTACCCATTCTGGACCCTTTTGAAATGTGTGTTGTTCACAGACGGATCAGAATTCCAGATTTTTGTTAGAAGAAATGGGCCAAAATAAAAGAAGCTTTTCAGACTTATATTGTTTATGTGCTTTGGTTTTGGATGTCACCGTATGTAACACACCTAATGTTTACAGGTTTAATCAACATGTACGACTGCTCTGACACTTTGTCTCTTCCCATAGGTACATCCACGCCCTCTACCTCGGTGCCCAGAGTCGATGGCACAGCARTGGGCCTCGCCGTCACTTCCATTGGCGGCTGATGTTTGAGAGTGCCGATATCACGATGCTGCGCCTGTTAGAGGCTTTTCTGAAGTCTGCTCCACAGCTGGTGCTGCAGCTGAGCATCATGATCCATGGAAACGCTGTCCTCCCTCTGCAAGGTTAGAGAGCTGCTGACCACCATCCTCAACTTGGACAGGTTTCACTGCCAAACATTTTTACACAAGAAGATAAATCTTGGTCTGGCAAGTTTTCTGTTAATATTTATGTGTGTTGTTATGATCATTTGGAAACATGTTGGTTCCACAAAACATTCTGCACAATCCCTTTTAAGAGCTTTGGGCCCTGTCAAATCAAAGCCAGAGCCAGGATACACAACAGGCAATAACACTAGATGATCGTTTGGAAACATCATTTTGTAAATGAGGATATTAGGAGTCACTTTTCAACACAGTGATAGGATAAGTCCATTTTTTACAAGCTGTAATATTAAACCAGGTAGAATAGATTTTTAAAAAGATGAGTGATTTATAGTTTAGTCTTTGGAGTTCCAGCTTGATTTGTAAATCGCTTTAAACAGTCATACAGATCCAAAATGTTGTACATCAGACAAAATAAAATGTAAGAGTAAAAACAAAGAATAAAAATGTAAAAACGAGCTCTAAGGGGTGCGTTAGATGTGTAAACCATGAGGTCCCAAAGTTTTGGCTAAACTAGTTTATAAATCACCCAAAGTGGCCTAATTTTTTAGATATTCTAAGTTGCAACTGGAAAGTCAACATTATTTCATGTACTTCTGCCTTATCTTGAAGCAAAATGCCATCTAAACCATTTGCTAAAGGAGCACAACCTAGCAACTCTCAGGCAGCTAGCAAAGTGGCTATAGACCAGGCCATGCTGCTTATGTTTCGTGATATTGTTAAAGAAGTAATTCAAGAGGAAAACGAAAACGTACAAGGAGAAATTGAAGAAATCGCAAAAGCTGTTTCACCCATTCAAGCTGCTATTGCTGAGTTCACAAAGAAAATGGGTGATTATGAAGAAGGCCTGGAGAATCTGGACAAGTGCTTGGAAGTTGTGGAAACCTGCTATGCGGATCTAAACAACCAATATAAATAGTCGACTTGGAAAATAGGGGAAGACGTTGTAACCTTTGCATACTGGGAGTACCTGAAAGAATGGAGCAGGGGAACCMCACCAGATTCATCGCTGACCTGTTATTCGACGTACTAGGTGGTCCTTCCGGGTGTGTCACTTAGGTTCATTGGGCCTCATGCAAGAACATGTTCGTATTCTTCTCCTAAATTTCTCTTACTTTTGTTCGTACAAAGGG